AGAGAGGAGAGAGAGAGAGAGAGAGGAGAGAGAGAGAGGAGGGGGGACTACTGATACTCAGCTCACTTCCTCCTTTTTATTCATTCCATGGGTTGGGCATGGGAAGGAGCTGCCCACACTGAGGGTTCAGGTCTCTGGAAACACATTCGTGGACATGCCCAGAGTCACATCTCCTAGGTTAGCGATCAAGATTAACTCACAACACCTGCTCTGACATTGCCCTTAGATGCTAGTGGTCAGCTAGGTTTAGCTGATTTCACAATCTCTCATCACTCCCAAGCAGAACGTTCTTATCACCAGTGCACCGGCATCTACTCAAGCTCTCCCTGTGTACTCTGCATCTTTCAGTTGTGGGCTGCAGCCGAGGCAGTCCTTTGGTAAAGAACTGCTTTCTGTTACAATCCTCTAACACTGCCCATTGCTTTCATTAGGAGCATAGTGACCCAGCAATGCAGCATTGCCCAGTTTACTGTCCCAGCCCCCTGTCTTAGCGTGTGCTCCTCCACTGCTTTGGGCTCCTGTCCCTTCTCATTTGCTCACACGCTTGTTACTCACTCATCCTTCTGTTCATTTCAGAGATGATTTCTCTGAGGGAAGCTGTTTCTGGGTGATCCAATTAGGATTATGGCCCCATTACATCTTGCCTGCCTCCTTTGGGGACTTGGTGCAGGTTGAATTTTTAAACTGACTGAGGAGGTTGTCTGCTTCTTGGAGCACAGAACATGGCCGCACTCTTGGCTGTAGTTTCTGTTGCTGTGATAAGACGTGCTGACCAAAGATAACACTTCCAACTCATAATTTATCACCCGGCGGAAGTTAGGGCAGGAGCTTGAGGCAGGAACTGGAGGCAGAACCCACAGAGGAATGCTGCTTGCTAGTTATCTCACTGGATAATGCTTAGCTAGCCTTCTACTTCATCCTAGGTTGTACCCCTTCCCTCCTTCCGGCTGCCTAGAGACGACACTTCCTGTGGTGGGCTGGCCCCTCCCACATCAATCATCAATCAAGACAATCACTCATAGACTTGGCCATACTGATCTTGGCAATCCTTCTATTGAGACTCCCTCAGATGACTCTAGGCTGTGTCAGGTTGACAACTGAAGCTAACTAGGACACCCTCTTCCTTTGATCTTGGTCTTAATGAAGTCTCAACTTCCTAGTGGCTGCTCAGTAAGCTGTCTGGTGGGCTCTGAAGATTGTACCCAAGGCATCAGATGCCTCTGTTCCCACATCCCCTGGCTCTCGTGGTCCTTGCTTCTCCAGAGGGGCCTCACGGCCTCCTGCTTCTGTGCCCACAGGTACCACATATGATTTTTCCCACTGCACCTTCTCGGGAAACGAGTCGAAGCCCCTGTGCGTGGAGATGGATGAGAACCACCTGCCCCGCTTCCCCGAGTGGATAACCATCCCCCTGGTGTGCATATACATGCTCTCCACCAACATCCTGCTGGTCAACCTGCTGGTCGCCATGTTTGGGTGAGTCTGTGTCACACATTTATGGGCTTCCACGCTGGGCCGTGCCTATGCCAGGCAGGCAGGAAGAGCGTGGGCAGAGGTAGTATCTACCTTGAGGAGCTGAGAGTAGAGGCTATTGGGAGCCTAGTGGTCTTCTGTGGTCGGGGGCTTAAAAAGACCATATAAAACAAAACAAAACAAGAAAACAACCCAGAACCAGTCGGAGATGGTGGAAGCCTAGTGGTCTTCTGTGGTCGGGGGCTTAAAAAGACCATATAAAAAAAACAAAACAAGAAAACAACCCAGAACCAGTCGGAGGTGGCGCACGCCTTTAATTCCAGAACTCAGGATGCAGAGGCAGGCGGATCTCTGTGAGTTCGAGATCAGCCTGGCCTACAAGAGGTAGTTCCAGGATAGGCTCCAAAGCCACACAGAGAAACTCTGTCTCAAACCTCCCCCCCAACAACAACAACAAAACCCCAAACAAACAGAAAAGCCCCAGGGTTCTCTACAGGCCATTCTTGGACTGGTTGGACACGGCAGATAAGCAGTGTGACTAGATCCATTAAATGCAGGCTGTGCTTAGCATCACGTCATAATTCCCCAGAGAGCAACTGAACTAACAGCTTTTTTTTGTTGCTGTGACAAATACCTCACAGAGGCAATGAGAGGAAGGGTGGGTTTGTTTTGGCTTATGGTTTGAGGGTACAGTCCATTGTGTTGGGAAGTCATGCGAGTGGGGGTGGTGGGAGGCAGGTGCTCGCATTGTGTCCGCTGTTCATCTTCCTTTTTTCTTTTCCCCTTTTTTATTCAGCCAAATACCCCAACCCATGACCTAGTACTGTCAGTGTTCAGAGCGGGTCTTCTTCCTGTTAAAACTCTCTGTGAGCACTCTCACAGACACCCACAGAGGTGCGTCTCCTAGGTGATTCCAAGTCCAGTCAAGTTGCCTGTGTTGGCACAATGGCTGCAGTGCAAATCACCTCCAAGGTTCCTTGTGTGTGTGTGTTTTTAAAAGTAAGACAAACCTACCCAAAAACCAATAACACCTCAGATGTGTAATCTCCTTGTGTGTGTGTGTTTTTAAAAGTAAGACAAACCTACCCAAAAACCAAAAACACCTTGGATGTGTAATCCAAAAATTAAAGCTCCCAGGAGCACCATTCATCCTGAACTTGGAAGGTGTAGGCATCAGAGGTTGCTTCTGGCACAGTTTGTTCTTAGCCTCTTCTGGGAAACACTTGCCAAGTTGCTCATGAGGCCTCTCACACAGGCTTGCTTCCATGGGCTTACAGGGCTTCATTCTGTGCTAGCCCACCTTGTTTAACTGTGGTGTGTTTCTCACGTTCATTTGGTTTCTTAGAAACACAAAAGGTACTTGAAGTGGCATCTAGAACAGACAGAGTGATCTTAGTGTCTTTGACTGTGAGCAGCCTCACTAGTGGTTCCATAGTGCCATAATATATATAATATATATAATCTGCTAACTGTTCCACGACTTGCATGTTTGGTTACAACCCATATAGCTGTTGTAATTTGAAGTTTGCCTTAGAATGTCGATGAATGATGGGATGAATCCACAATATGCAGATTGTTGACCTGGTTCTGATGACCTGTTATGGTGTTGTTTCTTTCCAAATGTTAGTTCTGAGGCTAGCTGGTCTGTGAAGGACACCAAGTGTTCCTCTGTCACAACCTGAGTCAATTCATCTCCCTATGGCTCTTAGTGTAAAGAATCTTCAGAAGCTTCTAGAAGAGGCATAGCTGTTTTCATAACCATTTTAATGCTTGCCTTTGGATCATCTGAAAGGTGGGAAACAGCCGAGTCGCTATCTTCTAAGACTTCCAAATCACTGTGATATAGGAGACAGATAAATTAGGAACACTTAGCTCTACGGTGTCTAACATAGTCGAAGATTTCTTGTGAAAAGAAAATCAGAGATTAGAAGATGTCGAGGTAATGTTGCCTAAGCAACCACATGCTAAAAATGGCATCTGGAGCCAAAGAGCCAACGCTGAGTTAATGGCTCTATACTTGATAACCTGGTCTCTGAAACTAGCCTGTCACCTGCAGGGTTTCCAAGACCACACACAGCCTGTCCACTGCTGGGACCATGGACAGGTGCCCGCAGAACACTGGACAGCTCAGGGGAAACTGACCCCTAAGTAAATCTGCAGAAATTGTGGTTTAAATGTGAACTGTCCTCCACAAACACATATGTTTGAACACTGGGTCCCCAGATAGTGGCGCTGTTTTGGGAAGCCGCAGAACCTTTAGTAAGCAAGGCCTGGCCAAAAGAAGTGAGTGCTTGGTGGCTCACTCTGCTTCTTGTTTCCGGTTTCTTACTCTCCCTCCCTCGTACTCTCATTCCCACCTTCCCTCCTTTTTGGACCTCTGAGATGTGAGCTAACCACCCGGCAGTTCCAGCTGCTTGGTGGCTCACTCTGCTTCTTGTTTCCGGTTTCTTACTCTCCCTCCCTTGTACCCTCATTCCCATCATTTGGACCTCTGAGATGTGAGCTAACCACTCGGCAGTTCCAGCTGCTATCTGCTCACACTCCCTTGCCTTTCCTAACACCAGTCAGAGTGAACCTTCGCTCCCCGAACTTGCTTCCTGTCAGATCCTAGTGATTAGAGCAAGGACCAGCAGCAGCCAGTGCCACAGCATTGAGTTGTCGGAGGTCTCAGAAGCTTTGTGCTGTGAGCTGTCAGGGCAGCTGCCTGCATGGAAGGACCTCACCCTTTACCACCTGTCATCTGCACTGTGGTCAGGGAATGAAGGAATCAGAGCTGTGCTGGAACTTTCCTGCTAAAGAGATACAGGTAACGACGATCTGCACCTGTGTCAAGGTGATGCGTGTTCAACTTTACTCAGTGTCTTCTTAGAGGAGTCATTGCACCCATCCAGCTGTAACCTCACACAGGGCTTCAGTGCTAGGGTCCTTGTCACCTTCCCCGGGGCCACCTCTCCTAGAAACTCTAGCTTAACCTCTTAGTGACCTCTGGCTAGGATTCTGAGAGCAGCAGAGGCCATGCTGTGTTTGTTCTGTGAGCCAGTTCCTTCCATGCTATTTCTAATGAGTACTAAGCTGTCTGGAGATTGTTCCCTGAGCAAATGGATTCAGGATGCCACCCTTGTATAAAACCACATCATAATACTTAGGGAAAAGCTTATGTACCCACAGTTGTGGCCTCATTAGCTACAGGGCAAATGTGTCTATGGGGATGGTCTTGGAGTATCAGGGGCTGACTGGATGGCATTCCACAGAAAAGCAAGAGGCACTAACAAATTTGTGATTAGTTTGCACTGAGGTCATCCTGGAGGCTGGAGGGAACCTAGAGTCAGGGAATGACTCAGATGTGTGCAGGTCCAGGGCCCAAGGGTGGCAGGCAGCTCTGGCAGGGATTCACTGACCATGCAAATTTGTGTGCCTTCTAAGAGCCATCTTCCTGTACCCTAGGAATAATGCACATTTATTACCAGTATGCAGGAAAGTAGACAGAAAAGAGTACTCCCCAGGCACAAACTAAAAATTTGGTGTGACATCAGTGGCCAGAGGGAAGCTGTGGAAATGGAGTTTAAATTTATAAGACAACAGTTAACTGTAATGATAATAGCATCATTTATGGGGCTTTCCCAGCCAAGAGCATTGTGTATGCACTGAAGAGTGCTTGCTGCTCTTTCAGAGAACCAGGGTTTAGTTCCCATTCCCCACATGGTGACTCACACCTGTCTCTAGCTTCAGTTCTGGGAACTCCAACGCCCTCTTCTGGTCACTGTGGGTTCCTGAACACATGTGGTGCACATAAACTCATGCAGGCTCACACACATACACTTGAAATAAAAATAAATAAATCTTTGAGAAACGAATCTAGTTGAGAAGTCTGTTTAGATTTTAATGTATTCTAAAACCTGCTGTTGTTTTCATGTCCATTTTTTTCTTTATAATTTTTTTTCAGATGGTGCATTCTGATTTGATCACTCTTTCTATTTTGGTTTTTACTACCAAATGGTTTTCATTACTGAAGGTTTTTTTAAAGTCATTAAAACATCTGTTGTACAAATCCTCCCTCATTATTCTTACTCAAAACTCTCCTAGCTTTTCGTGCATATTTAATTGTACAAAAGAGCCCAACACTCATCTTTCTTCGTTTGGAAAAAGAATCTGGTGACTCTTTGTGGAATTATTTAGGAGAAACTGTGTCATAATCTTGAGAAACAGTGTTAAGTTCACAGTGTTCAGGTATCTACAGTTGTCGATAAACGTCCAATCTGGTGACTCTTTGTGGAATTATTTAGGAGAAACTGTGTCATAATCTCGAGAAACAGTGTTAAGTTCACAGTGTTCAGGTATCTACAGTTGTTGATAAACGTCTGTGGGTCTTTTTGTGTGGGACTCGCAGGGTTCTGTAATCCCCAGTCATTTAGGGCTGTGGGCAAATGTTTTCTGTTTTCTATGATTTTTATGTCAATGACTACGTTTTGCTGTATAGAAAGGCTTTTTAAAGATTCACTTACTCATTGTGTGACAAGTCCTCTTTTCACTACCTTGTGGATGCTGTCCCCTCCCCTTCAATTCCTTATTTGTCATGTCACTTTCTTCTTCTCTGTCTTGCTTTCTAACCATAAAAAGACGCTCTATGTTCCAGAAGCCTCTCCTGTAAGTATTGAAACTCTCCCTTTGATCTGGAGCTATGATGCGTCACACAAATGATGGGTATAGATATGTTGTTAGCATCCACCACCCTTCTGCTCTGTGGTCATGGCATAGTATCCCTTTAATGCACGTCTGGGTTTCATCTGTGCATGAGGCTATCTGAATTCCAAACATCTGCTGAAGGCTAGAAACATCTCCAATCTCGGCGATTTTTCTCCCTCCAAGGGGCTTCTGCTTCCTCCCTTCTGCTGTCCTGCTCCACAGAGGGTACTGAGTTGGTCTGCTACCCCCTCCAGACCACTGAGATATTGACAGGGACAATACCTTCCTAACAGGGTATTGGAGAGATGGTGTAGAGGGGC